GATTCAAAAGCTTCATCCATGTCCTTGAATAGAGTTGAGCTTCCTAGGATGCTATCACATGCCTTGGATGCACATCTCTATGCCTGAAGCTTCACTGAGCATGTCTTTGAAGTTGAGTCTTGCATTTTTCCAACGATTGATAAAGTCGATAACTAGTTCCCCTTTCGTTGTCGAGTATTTGTAAGTTCTATCATACTCATAGTACGTCTCGTGCTATAAAAGCGATTGAGGAACTCTTGCTCTAGTTGATCTCAGCTATCGACAGATCCAGCCTCGAGGTCTGTGTACCAATCAAAAGCATTGTCTTTTAGCGAGAGGACAAACTACTTGATGAGGTAATCTCCATAAGTCCCAGCATTGTTGCACGTCTCCACGAAGTGTGCCACATGTTACTTTGGGTTACCTTTGCCATCAAACTGTTGAAACTTTGGAGGTTGATAGCCAGAAGGCATCTTCAACATATCGACCCTTGAAGTGTACGGCTTTGCACATGTAAGGGAGGATTTGGCAGCAACTTCATATTTGTTCTTAATGGTTCCTTCAATGAACTCCTTCAGTTGATCGATTGGAATCATCCCTTCAGATGAGACAGGGAGCCTTAGTGGATGCTACTTGTCTTGGGGGAGAGTCACTCTCTAGAACTTCTGGGTGCTTGCCGGGTGCATGGGTGGATTCTTCTTCCATCAAGATTCCCACCCTGTCTGTTAGCTTGTTAATTATGGCCTCTTGATTTTGCATGCATTTGGTCAAGCCAGTGATTGCTTCCGTCAAGTTTGCCAACTGCTCCTCCATAGATGAAGTGTTTGTCACCATGGCTTGCATGATTGTCGTGGACGACGGATAGTAGCATGGATTTTCACACAGATTGATCTTTGATTGGCTCACGCTATGTGGTGTAAGTGGGGAGGATCCATCACTTGAAGCATCATCATCTTCCTTCACAGTAGAGTGCTTGGATCCGGAGAGGTCAAGTAGAGCAAGGGTTTCTTGATCTTTTCAGCAACATCGCTTCCTCCTTCAAATGCGTTTGTGGAAGATCTTGCTCCTTTTGAGGATGAAGATCCGAAAACAGGGGTTGATACAGACGGTACTTGGGGTGCTTGTTGTCCTAAAGATTGCTCCTCGTAACTGGTCTGAAGCTTTCAAAGGTAACATCGAGGATGCTTTCCACATCAGCGTAGAACCTGGAGTTAGTAGCCTTGGTGGAAGTTGAACCAGAGTTGATTTTCTTTGAAGCCATTTCTATGTTCTTGGACTTTGGTGATTGAAAAGTTGAGATGAGAGGTAGAGATTGTCCCACTGGACGTGCCAGAATTTGCAGACAATAAATTTGCGTCGAGAAAAAAAAATCAAGACCGAAAATATCGCAACAATCATAGTATTTGATTTCAAATAATATGAGCGTACAATCTCTATAAATCCTCTGATTCTTCTTTCCAATAGTAAATAAATTCAAGGGCCTTTAAGCTTGATCTTGAATATGTAGTTGTTGCCACGAACGATGATCTTGTTTTTGAGCTTGAGCTTGATTGCTTGAATTTGACCTTGATTTGTTCTTCGTTCTTGAGCTTGAACTTGATTTGTTCTTCGTTCTTGAGCTTGAATTTGATTGCTTGAAGCTTGAAACTTGTAGAGAAATTTGCGGTTTGATCCACGAGCTTTCTCTTGCTTCTTGTTATAACTTCTGGTGTCTTTTCTGAGTTATGAAGACCCCTATTTATAGTTGTGGGAGGGAAGAGTTATGATAAGAACAAACTTTTTCCGACGAATCAAATTGAAGTGTGACATGGCCGCATTTGATTGGCCAGAACATGTCACTTGCACACATGGCGCGATTTAATTGGCCTTTCAATGTGACTGGCCATGCCTTGTCATTTTGACACGTGGCATGGTCCTATTGGCTCTTCCACTTGACTTGGCGCACCATGTCATTTGACACGTGGCACTGGGCCTCTAGGAAGATGACATCTTGGGCCTGATAAGATGGGCTCATCATTTGTAGCCCAATTAAATGGACTAGCCCAATGGATTAAGGCTTATTTATTTAATCCATATATATTGGACTAATATAATTAATCTAATCATATTAGCCCATTATATTTATTTGGACCAAAATATATTTAATTGAAATCAAATCCAAATTTCATATGGATTTAAATTCAATAAAATTTTAATTGTCTACACCTTCCTATCAAGGGTCATGTCCTCGGTCAGCTAAAACTGCGCCATGTCTTGCCTAATAACCTCTCCCCACCTCTTCTTTGGCCTACCTCTACCTGTCCGTAGGCTCTCCAATGTCAACCTCTCACACCTCCTCACCGGGGCATCTGTGCTCCTCCTCCTCACATGACCAAACCACCTAAGCCGCGCTTCCCGCATCTTGTACTCAATAGGGGCCACACCCACCTTGTCGCAAATAACCTCATTTCTGATCCTATCTAACCTGGTGTGCCCGAACATCCATCTCAACATCCTCATCTCTACTACCTTCATCTTCTAGATATGAGCGATCTTGACTGGCCAATACTCATCCCCATACAACATCGTTGGTCTAATCACCACTCTGTAGAACTTACTATTTGGTACCTTCTTGTCACATAAAACACCGGAAGCGAGTCTCCATGTCATCCATCCAGATCCAATACGATGTGTGACATCTTCATCAATCTCCCCACCCCCCTGAATAATAGACACAAGGTACTTAAAACTCCCTCTCCTAGGGATGACCTGCGAGTCCAGCCTCACCTCCTTTTCCCCCCTTGAGTCTCGCCATTGAACTTACACTCTAAGTATTCTGTCTTGGTCCCGCTCAACTTAAGACCTTTCGATTCTAGGGTCTGCCTTCATACCTCTAATTGTGCATTCACACCGTCTCGCATATCGTCAATCAATACAATATCCTCTATAAATAGTATGCACCATGACACCTCCCCTTGGATGTGGAGCATCAGTACGTCCATCACCTGAGCAAACAAAAAGGGCTAAGTGACGACCCGTGATGCAGCCCCATCATAATAGGAAAATGGTCCGAGTCACCACTCACCGTCCTCATCCGGGGTCTTTACTCCATCATACATGTCCTTAATCAACCTAACGTAGACAACATGTAAACCTCTAACCTTCAAACATCTCCATAAAACCTCCCTCAGAACTTTATCGTACGCCTTTTTTAAGTCAATGAACAGTATATGCAAGTCCTTCTTTCTCTTCCTATACTGCTCCATCAATCTCCTAACAAGGTGGATGACTTTTAAAAGTCGAACGTCCCGGCACAAACCCAAACTTGTTCTCAAAAATAGAAACCCTCTTCTTTCACCCTTAGCTCTACCACTCTCTCACAGACTTTCATAATATGGCTAAGCAACTTGATACCCCGATAGTTATTGCAATTTTGGATATTACCCTTGTTCTTGTATACAGAACCATCGTGCTCCACCCCCACTATTCGGGGAACTTCTTCGTTCTAAAAATGATATTAAATAACCTAGTGAGCCACTCCAAGCCTGCCTTGCCCGCACTCTTCCAAAACTCTACCGGAATGTCATCCGGCCCGGTCGTGTGTCCCCTACTCATCTTATGCATAACCCCGTCAACTTCATCAACTCTAATCCGCCTACAATACCCAAAGTCACAACGGCTCCCGGAGAGTTCCAAATCACCCAGAACAATGCTCCTTTCTCCCTCCTCCTTCAAGAGGTTATGGAAGTAGGTCTGCCATCTCCAATGGATAAACCCCTCATCTAACAAAACTCTACCTTCTTCGTCCTTGATACATTTCACTTGGTCCAAGTTGCGCGCCTTGATTAACCTGAACAACCTCTTATCCCCACCTCGGCCCTCGAGTTCCTCATACAAACGACTAAAAGTTGCAGTCTTGGCTGCCTCAACTACTAGCTTTGCTTTTTTCTTAGCCAACTTATAATGCTCCCTATTCACCCTCTTCTCCTCCTCGTCTACACTTACCACTAGCTTCAGATACGCTACTTTCTTGATTTCCACTTTTCCTTGCACCTCTCCATTCCACCACCAGTCTCCCTTGTGACTATCAGAGTAACCCTTTGAGACCCCTAATACCTCATCTGCGGCTTCCCTAATGCACTACACAGTCGTGGTTCACATAGCGCTTGCATCCCCACTACTCATCCAAGCCTCCATAATCACCAGTCTGACCCCCAACTCATGCGCTTCTTCCACCAAGGCTCCCCACTTGATCATATGTTGGCTATACATCGCCTCTTCCTCCTCTTCCTCATGATCTCAAGGTCCATGACTAGGAGCCTATGAAGGGTCGAGAGGTTCTCATTCGGGATGACCTTGCCATTCGTGCAAATACCTCTATTGGACTTCCTGCAGAGTAAATAATCAATCTGAGTCTCGGCCACCGAACTCCGGAAGGTGACCAAGTGCTCCCTCTTCTTCGGAAAACTCGAGTTTGCTATCACCAAATCAAATGCTCTAGCAAAGTCTAGAAGAGACGTTCCTCCTTCCTTTCTATCTCCAAAACCAAAGCCACCATACACATCATCATACCCCTCAGACGTCGCTTCAATGTGTCCGTTGAAATCTCCTCCTATGAAAAGCTTCTCAGTATGAGGGATACCACGCACCATCTCATTCAAATCCTACCAGAAACGCCTCTTGACTTCCTTATCCAAGCCTGCTTGGGGTGCGTACGCACTGCGTATTTTCAAAGTAAAACCTCCAACAACTAGTTTAATAGTCATCAGCCTATGATTCACCCTCCTGACCTCCACCACTAGTTCCCGGAGGTCCTTATCAACCAAGATACCTACCCCGTTCCTTCTCCCACCCTCCCAGAATACCAAAGTTTGAAACTGCCCACATCCCGCGCCTTATCTCTTACCCACCTAGTCTCCTGTACACAAGCTATATTGATCTTTCTTTTCTCGAGAATCTTCGCTAACTCTCCAGATTTTTCAGTTAAAGTTCCTATGTTTCAAGACCCCACTCTCAGCCTAGTAGCCCACTTAGCCCTCTTACCCTCTTACCCCCTCCCCGCGCTGGCACTCCCAAGGACAAGACCTTAACCTACCATTGTTCACCAAATACACAATAATCTAGGAGTCATTACGCAAGCACTATCCCGAAAACAGGCGGCAAAAATAAAATAAATTACCGAAATATAATCTACCACTAAAGGTTGCAAAACAAGTGAAGAAATAAAATAAAGGTACAAATTGTTCTAATTAATTATTTTACTATGCTCAATATTTTATTATTCCAACATTATATACGCTTACACACTATTTTATTTTTTAATTTAAAAATAAACCTTATTTATTCTATAGATAAGTACATAAAATAAATTAAAAAGAAAAAAATCATAATATTAAAAAAAATTAGAAAAATAAAAAGAAGATAAAAGTTGATAATTTAGAGCGTAAAATACGTATTTGCAATCAAAAGTTTGAGAAATCTAATTGAGTGACCTTCTGAGTGCTATAAGCATAATTGAGTGACTTTGTTGTTAAAAATGAAAGAAAAATGACTTTAATAGGCAATTTCGGATAGTTGAGTGACCCTTTGAGTAATGTACTTCAGTAAAAAAAATATAGAGATTTATAGTGCTAGATAATCTTTTTCTTTTTGTCAAATTTTATTTTATATAATATTGAACTAAGAAGAGTTTAATGAAAATCTTGATTAGAATTCAGGCGCAACTACTATTAGTTTCTTCTTAAAAATGGAAATAGCAAAAAAGGGCGCTGGGAACTTTTGAATGTAATAAACTAAAGTAGTTGCCCAAGCCCCTCAATTTTCTCTTTTATCTATTTAGCCCCCTTAAGCTTACATTTTTTCAACGGTGTGAGTGTGTGATATCTGTTCCTTTGGAAAAATAAAGCCTTCCAAATTTATATTTCGACCCCTATAATTGGAATTGTAAGATTATATATAACTTTGAACAATTGTGTCCTTGTCCAATTGAATTCTGTTTGAAGTTTTATAGCCGCCTCTTTAATTGTCTATGCGTTTGTTTTCAGTTTTTACTTTCCTCTTATTTTACCTCTCTCAATTCCAAACAAAATAATAGCAAGAGATAATAAACAGTCAACCATTCATTATCTTGTTGCTAAGTAAAAAATGTAAGATAAGTATATATGCAACAAAGGAGAAATTAAAATACATCTGAAATAGTCAAATAATATGCAGTCATTGCTCATAACATAGATACCAAATTCAGAGGAGTATTTAATAATTCTGAATTAGTGAAAATATCAAATAGTAACAAATAAACATCTCTCAATATTATTATTTGAAGCTTCGTATATCGCCATAAAAACTTCATAAAGTCATATGAATGTAAACGCACGTAAATAATCCATCAAAAGATGTATATATATGTACATAATCTCATCGACATTCATTCTATATTCATATTACTCCCAAAAAATTCTCAGAAACCTTGACAAAAATTCAATGCGCCTAGCCCGGACTATATATGTGAAAGAGAAAATAACACATATAAAAATAGAATCCACAAACTTCAAATTTTGGATTCGTCTCGGGATATTAAAACTTAAGTTTGTAAACTTTTTCCATCCTAATTATGAATAGGAGGTTTCTTTCGGGCCGGAGTGTAATCTACGTCTATTGCTACCGAGTCTTTACAGTTTGATTGCTCTTCATTCTTTACAAGAATTTCTTGTTCACTCTTTTGAACTTCATAAAGATCAACTCGTAAATTCCTTGCTGCAAAAATAGAAAATAAAACCGAAGAATATGAACAATAATATAAAAACTCTATATTAGATAAATGACAAGATCTCTATATATATTTTCTAGAAAACTGGATTATTTCTCCATCCAATAAGAGATAACTAGAAATAAATAAATAAATAAATAAATAAATAAATAAGGAGATTTTGTTTACCAAGGCAAGTGATCAAGAAGAAGCAGAACAAGAAGGAAATGACCAAGAACCAATGCGTTTTTTGGTTACAAACAACCATTTTTGACGTTCTAAAATTTTGATTATAGAGATATATCTGCATGTTTTGTGGGTTTTATACAAATTCGATCATTATTTATAGAAAGACATCATAGATTGGAGAAATTGGACAATTTATTTAAAGATGTCAAATCATGTAGCTAATTTTATGTACTTGGAGAATAGCATGAGGGCCCTTATGCGGGGGTGACAATAGATTCAATATCAGCATTTTGCATGAGAAACCTTTGCATGATTGTATTCACTATTTGTGTATATAGCTCTTGTACGAATTACTATACTGAGGTTAGAAACAATATTTCTTAAAACACCAGCCATATGCCATGTCTGCTGTTTGTACGATTCTTGTCTTTTTATATACATATCAAGAAATTGAGAAATTTCGAGAGTTAGTGACGCATGGTTTGAAACTCAATTATAATTGACTCGGCCCTCTAGTACCCTTAAGCATATTGCATATATATAACGTCATAATTGGAATGACGTATGAAAACATAGAAAATCGCTCGTGGCTAACAGAATTTTTTGATAATCTGTCGCTAGTCCTTCGCTAAGAAAGAATATTAGTCGTGAATTTTATTGTTTAGCTACAGAATTGTACATCGGTAGTTCTTGATTTTTTAGTGTTGAAAGGTTAATATTGGAGATCTATAAATAATTAAAACATAACTTTTTGTATAGACTTAAAATTGTGAGTGAGCACAAAAGATCTATCTCAAATAACAATAAGCAAGAGGAGATTATAAATTGGACAAAAGGGAGACCCTCTATTATTTTGAGATAAAGCAACTGAAAAGGAAGTCTAAAATTTCATGTGGCAAACAATCAGTTGATGTGCACAATTTTTTTTTGGAGGGCTTGAAAATCAAAACAGTTTGTTCCCTACTAAGGTGACCTTCGACATGCATTTCAATTGGAAAATGGTAAGAAATCTCCTTTAATTTCTTCTTGTTAATTTGCAATATTTTATAAGAGTTTAAGCTAATAAGTAACATGTTACCTCTCTCCTTTTCGATCAATGGAGACATAGACACACAGGAAGATGTGAATCAAATCCATGTCAAGGTCGTTATCGAATAAAATCCCAAATTAATACTCTCTTTGTCTCGAATTATTTATCGTGTTTTCGTTTACACGTCCTTTAAGAAAATATTAATTAGGATTTTTTTTGATTATTTTACCCTTATTTAATTTATGTCTTAACCTATAATCTCTCTTCGTTGAATATTTATTCTATTTATATATCATCTCTATCTTCAAGAACAATTACCAAAGGGTAAAACAGAAAAAAATAACTAATTTTTTCTTGAACTTCTAAAATGATAAATAATTTGAGACAACTACTTTAAAAATCACGACAAATAATTTAAGACAGATGAGGTATATATCGTTTCGAATGTTATAGAGATATTTTCAAAGTGATTTTAGAGAAGACGCTAAATATAAGTGGAAAGTTCAAAGGTAAAAGGTGGTCAAAAACTAATTTTGAAAAGGACTTGTTTAAATTACTTATGATTGCAAATTAGCATTCAAGATCAATTACTAGTTAACTCTCGGAGATAATTGTATTCTTTTTTTTTTTAATAAAATAAGTTTTATCAAAAATATTTCTAATTCCTCGTTAGAAAGAGCAATATGATTCTCATATAACTTATTTACACGAGCCCCTCCTCGGGCGGATTCCTTCTTTTGCTCCTCAGCCTACGGGGTATTAGTAGCCGTTTCTAGCTGTTGTTCCTCTCCTTAGGGCAGATTCTTATGCGTTACTCACCCATCCGCCACTGGCTCTTGAAATGCTATTTCAAGAATAAGATTCTTTTCCAGCTTCGATTTCTTTCTCATTTACTATTTGTTATATAATCTCTCGATCATGTCTACGCCTTAGTAACATGTCGTCTTGATTATGAAACATTAGGAAAGTAAGAATAATTTTTTAAATTAATTAAATGGGAATAAACCCTTTAATTAAATACTCATAATAAACACATTTCGACAACTAATCAATTATATGCTTTGCTAAAATGATTTGAAGCCTAGTCAACTCGATAAGTAGCTATAATAAACATATATAGTACTTGAAATAGAAAACAGCGGCATGGAAATTCAATGTTATAGAGGACATGTGTCATGGTTCGAAGTTTCAAACCTATGGCTAATAAGAAACTACCCTTGTGATTTCACGTGATGAACGTAAGATTTAAAGGGACATGAACATGCACAAGTATATTTCGTTTCAATCATTATTTTAGGACGACCAGCACCTACTACGTACTGCTTCTTTTGAAGATGCTGCAGTACTCTCATGCCATTCCTAGACAACTATATATTGTTATATGTGGACCGATGCTGACCAAAGATTTTAACGCAAGAGGCCGGGCACCAGTGTTTTGCTCACTAATGCCCTTAAAGATTTTTAATATCCAGAGTACAAAGTGATTTAAATTAATTATTTTCAAAATGTATACGTATACATAAATAAGATTTTGCAAAAGTTTACGGGGTCTAATAACTTTTCAAGGTTACTCATAGGTCCACCTTTGTCCGTGGACCATCTTCGACGAGGATTTCGATTTCCATAGAATATAAGTAAGTAAAAAATGGCTCCACCTTTTCGTTGATTTTTATTTGGTTTGGACAAAG